AAAACAACATGTGTACTACTGTTTCATGAGAAACTATTTGTTCTGTAAGCCTTCACCTGAAGTACAATAAAATATTAAAACAAAAACAAAAAAAACTGAATTACTCCAGCCATGTGGTTTCTTTAAGGGGAAACAAGGTCCAGTATCTTATAAGAGTGTTTAAGGGTCATGAAGCTAATTCTAAGGAAGTAGCTGTAGTTCCTAACCAAATTAATGCTATGAATGACTATATGGAAATGGGTTATATTATTACTCATGAAAGGAAACCCTATTGTTTATGAGCAAGTGAAACAAAGACAGATAAACTGATGTTGAGCCAGATATGGGATATATTTAAAAAAGGTGGGAGTGAGTCCTCAGACATGGGAGCTATTGCTCATAGAATATAATCTTGTATCAGAAATCTGGATAAAAGAATAACCATTTAAAGTCATAATGCAGATCAAAGTTTTTTTTAGAAATTAGACTACCAAAATATTCAGCAGAGACTACTTAAGTCTTCAAGGAGGGCACATGAAAGATGAGATTTATGTGGGCAAATGTCTGTACAGTTCAGGTGAACACTCATAGCCTTATTCATTGCTAAAATCATTTGTAGAAAAATAGCATAGCAATTTAGCACAATTTCTTGTTAATTTATGGTCCTTTTTTTTTCTCTCCCATGCTTGTTGTTTCTAATTCAAACTAGACTGGCACTCCCTACTTTAAGAGAGGTAATTCTTCCTGGTTCTTAAGTTCCAAAGGTCTTTGCATCTGATCATACGGACTTTACTCCATGGGATCAACTCTCCATGGCCAATTCCTCTTTTGTCACTGAGTTCCTACTGATGGGTTTCTCCAGCCTTGGGGAACTGCAGCTTGTTCTCTTTGTGGTTTTTCTTTCCCTCTATTTGATCACCCTGAGTGGAAATATCACCATCATCTCAGTCATCCGCCTAGACTGTAACCTGCACACACCTATGTACTTCTTTCTGTGTGTCCTTTCTGTCTCTGAGACCTTATACACAATTGTTATCCTGCCCAAGATGCTTATCAACCTGTTCTCTGTACTCAGGACACTCTCCTTCATGAGTTGTGCCACTCAGATGTTCTTCTTCCTTGGTTTTGCTGTCACCAATTGCCTTCTTCTGGGAGTGATGGGTTATGATCGTTATGCTGCCATCTGCCAGCCTTTGCACTACCCCGTTCTCATGAGCTGGAGGGTATGTGGACAGCTGGCAGTAACTTCTATTATTGGTGGCTTCCTGATATCTCTGGTGGGGACAACTTTGGTGTTTAGCCTCCCTTTCTGTGGCCCCAACAAGGTTGACCACTACTTTTGTGATATTTTCCCTGTCATTCGCCTTGCCTGTGCTGATGCCCACATTAATGAACTGGTCATCTTCATTGCTGGAGTCCTTGTGCTTCTTGTGCCCTTGATCTTCATCTGCATCTCCTATGGCTTTATTGTCCGCACTATCCTGAGGATCCCCTCAGCTGAAGGCAAGCGAAAAGCCTTTTCCACCTGTGCCTCCCATCTCACTGTGGTTATTGTTCACTATGGCTGTGCTTCCTCTGTCTACCTGCGGCCCTCAGCCAAACACACATCAGGCAAAGACAGGCTGGTGACAGTGACCTATACCATCATCACCCCATTGTTGAGCCCCATTGTATACAGCCTTAGGAACAAAGATGTCCAGATGGCTATTAGGAAAATAATTGGGAAGACTGTTTCTTTTCCTAAGAGTTTATAGTTAGAATATTTTAAAAGTGTACATACATGTCTGTGACAATAAAAAGTGGATCTTTTTTTTTTTAATCCTACAAGTATCTGTTGTATTTATCTGTATAACTGTGTGGTCTTGGATGAGTTGTTTGACATTGTGAGGCCTTAATGTTTTTGTATGTGAAGTGGGGATAATAATATGTTCTTCTTTGGGTTGTTGTAAAGAATCACAGTATCTGGTAATGAATCATCACTCTCCTCATCCTCCTCCTATTTCTCTAGATGGATAATTCTCAAAAGGTCTTAAAAACCATCATCTTTTGTCCTTTGGCTTGTTTAACATCAATCTCCATTGATTATGCTCTTTTCTTAAGATTATGCCCAGCCTAAAATGAGGTTCCCAAACCTGAAGGTGGCTTACATCTAACAGCATGATATGTTGGGGGGAAATATTCACTGTATTTGTAACTAGAAGATTTAAGATTAGACACTGGCTAGGTCATGAGGTTGAGACAGCTACTTACTTTTTCTTTTTTAAACCTAAAGTGTATTATGTATAAAGAAGATTAACACAATTTTTTTTTCCTACTTCCTAGGGTTTTTATTTTAATCAAATGGATAAGATAAAAGAAAGCATGTATAAAATGTGAAACACACAAAGTGCAAGACTATTATTGTATTAACTGAAGCATTTCCTTTTTCTGCAAGGACCTTTTCTTTTTGAGTCTCCAGAAACAGTTTCTGGATGCCTTTTTGTGACCACTCTTAGAAACTACTCCTTATATAACATAGCAGGTGTGTTACACAAAGGAATGGAAAAGAATGATCAACCATAAAATCCAAACTTAGGCTTAAGAAAATATCTGCACGGCCTTCCACACTGAATTTATTAAGAAGAGGGAGATACGTAGTCTCAGGTTCAGTACCAGACTGCATAATAGTAGTATGAAAGACCTATAGTTGTCATCAAGTCCCACCTCCTACCTGTGCAGACATTCCTTCATCAGTATTGCTAATGGAAATTAACCTTTGGTTGACTAGGTAGCAACGGCTTCATAAAATGTCCATTCCTGCTGTACTCAGCTCTCGTTACTTATTTTCCCTCATTTTAGCTGGAATTTGCCTCTCTGTGATTTTCATACATTCCATCTCTTATGTCACACATAAAGTCTGATCTTGCTTCACAGATACATGAGACAGTTAGAATGACAACCTGAACTTTCTCTTTTCTGTTACTCATGTGACCTAAATTTTAGACACCTCACATTCTTGGGTGCAGTTTTCTAGATATGCTGCAGCTTGTCAGTATTATTTTAAAATGTTGATGCATAAAACTGAAGCTCACTTTTAATATGTGACCTCCTTTCCCAGGGTAAAATGTAATTGTACTCTTTCTTATTAATTGCATTTATATTTTTTAAATTGAAGGGTATAAATTCATAAATAATGTCCTCTTGTATTTTTACAGTACTACTGCCTCTGTTGCTATTTTTGTCTACTATTTTTCAATCTTACAATAATATATTTTTTAAAAATTTTATTCTTACTAGTTAAATAGTGAAGGCATTTTAGACAAAGCAAGTCTCTGTAAGTACAGCTTTGAGAACCTCCATTATAGTATTCTGTTCTCACTTTTTCCTAACAGGTTAGCAATTGTCATTTATTGACTAATTTTTTTTTTTTTTAAGGAATAAGGTACTTATTATACGTATTTCCTGGCTGATACTTTTAAAAAACTTCCATTATGCATTTCTAGCTTTGTTTTGTGTTAATTTGAGGATGAGATTGACATAAGTTTTATTTTTACTTTTTTGGAATTTTTTGAATTTTTATGTGTTTTTTTCTGAATTGTGTCTGGTCACTTAATATGGTGAAATAATTTCCTTTAGATTAAAATTCTTAATACATACATTATAGATATTATCATAATTTTATTAATAAAACTATTTTAGTACACTATATCATTATTTGTTTTATGTGTATGTGACCAGTCATAGATCCATTGTATTTAAGTAAAATACTTTCCTGCATTTGTGTTTATTTGCTTGTCATTACATTTCTAACAGCATCCATTAATTAATTTTGTTTGAAATGAATTCTTTAAAACTATGAAATATTTTTTTTTCGATTTAACATACACTGTAACTATAAACCCACTAAAATGATAGCAAGGGTATAAAAAACACATAAAAGCATTCTTCAAAAAGCCAAACAAGAGAGGAGAGCAGATGGAAAATATCAAACCAATTATAGAAGCATGAAAATGGATTACTGAAGTCATTCTAAGCCAAAGAGAGAGAGCTGAAAAAATACACCTGTATAGGGGCGGGGTAAGCCAACCAAAAGCAAACCAACTTACAGCAAAGAACTCTAGATCTGGACATTTTCTTTATGTTAGGCCACCCCAACGACACTGAAGGGTAGGACTGATTTAACGTCCTATAAAGAACACATATCCTCTTGATCAGTGCTTTGCAAATCATCTGTAGTTAAAGACCAGTTTTCTTTTTCCATTTCATCACAGGCCAATATTTCAGTAAAATGTAGTACACCTTAATCACTAAAACAATGGAAAACATCCTAACTGGTCTTTGAAAACCACTGGCCTACACCAAATAAGCCAGTATTTTTCAAAGATCTTCATAAAATCCTCAGAGTTATGGGATATGTTTACAAGAATAGCATTGAGGACCAATAGGTGTTGGTTCAACCAAAATCATTCAACAGTTATTATGGCCATGTTTCTCCAAGAATACAACTCAAACCAGCATTATCAGCGTGTCCTAGGAATTTGTTAGAAATGGAAATTTTTAAGTCCCAAGCCAAACCTACAGAGACAGAATCTCTGGGAGTGGGGCTCATCAATTTGTGTTCAATAAGCCCTCCAAGTGATTATGATACATCCTAAAGTTTGAGAACCAGTGGCTTATGAGAAACCACACTGATTTCTGCTAAGAAGAGAGTACACAGATATCACCCTTCCTGGTGATGTTTCCACAACATTGTGAATGTAACTATTGCCACTGAATTGTATACTTAAAATGGTTAAAATGGACAATTTTATATTACATATACTTTGCCACAACTAAAAAAAAAAAAAGACACACAAAACTACCTCACTTCCTCCCAGTCTGACCAGATTGCATGTTTCCTTCTTTTCGGGTGGTTACTCTTTATTTTATAATGCCTCATAAGTGGAGAAGGACATTATGCTTGCTAAAGCAGAAGGTCAGAAAAAAAGAGGAAAACTCACCATGATATGGATTGACATAGTTGGCTCAGACATAGCAATGATTGTGAAGATGGTGAAGGATCAGGCAGCATTTCGTTCTGTTGGATCACTATGAATTGGAACTGACTCGACAGCACCTAACAACAACAATAGAAGCTGAAAGTTATGTGAAAAGCATACGATCTTCCAGGACAGCCCACTCCAGGCAAAACAAGTAGTGTGAGGTAGGAGTTTTTTTTTTTCTTGTTATACTAGTGTGTAAATGATCATGAAGATGGCTCAGGATGGGGTAATATTTCACTGTTATACATGGGTGCACCATGAGTCAAAGCCAACTTGACAGCAACTAATAACAACAACATAGTATTCTCACATTTAAATCTTGACCCACAAAATCCAAAATATTTACACTAATTTTATAGAAAAAGTTTTCCTAGACCATCTAAGAGGCAACGTGGGGTTTTGTATCTGCCTATGACCTGTTAATGCCCAGGCAGGAAACAACTGGGTAACTGTGTTTATGTGCAGGTTCATTAGTAAGGAAATTTTGTTTTTAGAGACAACTGGATCAAATCTTCCACAATGTTTAGACTCAGAGCCATGTGGCCAACTCATCCTAGATCAAACAAACATGTTGTTTCAGAATTATGAATATTAATGGATAGACCTTCACAGTCCATGAAACTGGGGCTATGGTTAATAAGTGTACATCTAAAGAGAGTGAAAGTTTGGAGACAGGAAGTCCAGCCACCTTCTCTATGGCTTTGTAACCACTTTAGCTGCAGTGAGCTATGTCTCCAACAAGGACAGGCTGGTAAAAATGACATATACCATTGTCACACTATTACTAAAACCCCTGGGATATAGCCTCAGAAACAAGGATGTCTAGTTTGCTATCAGAAAAGTGTTGGGAAAGAAAGAGTCTCTAAAACTGTATCATTGAAATATTATATTTTAGATGCCATAAGTAGTTTGCTCTGTTATCATATGTGCATTATAACTATAACCAATTCTTGAAAGAATGGGACTGTATAAGATACAATTTATTTTGTCCTCATTATCCCTTTAAATCCAGCC